GCTGGCCTCCAGACTCAGTATCACAAGTACCTGTTACACATTTCAGAGTCCATGCCTGCACCCAGGCCCTTCCCACCTCCTCTCCTGCTCTAAACTTCCCCAGCTACTCATTCTCCTTACAACCCTGCTCTTTGGGCTTTGCTCTCTGTCTCTGTCTTCCCCCACCTGGACCAGTCTTGTCTTCAATTTATACACTGGGCACCCTGGTTTTCTCCAGTGACTATCAATTAGAAAAATTTCCTTCAAAATGCAGATAAATAAGGTCAGTGCTATGTTGACTTCCTGGTTTTGTTTTGTTTTTTTCTAAAGAAAAGCAAAACTCTCTTTCCATAACCTATCCAGGTTGCCCTGGCCTTCCTTTTCTGAGCCATTGTCTGGCTGGCTCCTTCCTGTCCTTTAGGCCTCAGCTTGGGCATCTCTTTAACCAGCTCTCCTCTGTTGGCCCACTCTGAAACATCTCTGCTGTGGGGCTTTGCCCTGTGACTTTTCATCTTCTTATAACCCGTATCCCATGCTGAGATGCCCTGCCTAATCTCTGCCCCTGTATCCCATGCTGAGATGCCCTGCCTAATCTCTGCCCCTGTATCCCATGCTGAGATGCCTTGCCGAATCTCTGCCTCAGTCACTGAGCTCCATGAGATTTCAGATCTTGTCCAACCTCTTTTCTGGTCTCAGTATTCCAAAGAGCATTTGGTACCCAGTAGCTCAATAAATACTTGTTGAGTAAATTGCATCTGTAGTTGAACATAGAGAAAGAGTCCATTGAGCACTGTGACGCTGCTCTGTTCTTTTGACTCCAGTTCACCGGTGTTTCTATGTATTATAGAAGATGAGAGAAACCGCATACTGTTGATTCAACAATTCAACAATTGGTTTGCACAGACATGCAGCGAATAAAATGTCCATGATCCACCCCTGTTGACAGAGGTTTCTGTCCCGCCCAGTCCTGCAGCTGTTCAGTCCCAAAGAAACACACAGAGGCCTACATTAATTATAAACTGGTTTGGCCTATTAGCTCAGGTTTTCTTATTAATTAACTCTTACATCTTTCATTAGTCCTTAATTCTTGTCTGTGTTAGCTATGTGGCTTGGTACCTTTTATCAGCAAGGCATTCTCATCTTGCTTCCTCTCTGTCTGGGTGACGACTATAGTCTGAGCCTTTTCTTTTCCCAGAATTCTCCCATTCTGGTTGCTCTGCCTCTACTTTCTGCCTGGCTTCTGGCCAATAGTGTTTTATTAAACCAATACAAGTGACACATCTTTACAGAGCACAAGACTATGGTCTCACAGCACACCATCAAGGGAAGACAGTAAATTACAAAGTAGTATGAGGCATGAGCCTTGTAACACTCATAACACATGTATCAATTGGGTGAATCATACTTTTTAAACATGTCTACACACAAATGTCTGAGAAATGGCTAGGGAAAACAGACACAAAGACGTAAAGAGTGGGTCTTTCTGGGCATAGGGTTATAAATAGACTTCTTTTCTTTAGATTTACTTGAACATTTGTGTCAGCATAATACCAACATAACGTATCAGCAAAATAACATTTTGTATCAATCATTACATTGATTGTACAGAAAATGGAATCAAGCTATTTCTGTTTTTTGTTTATTTGGTTTGGTTTTGGTTTTAGATTTTTGAGACAGGATTTCTCTGTATAGCCCTGGCTGTCCTAGAACTTGATCTGTAGTCCAGGCTAACCTCTAACTCACAGAGATCCACCTGCCTTTGCCTCCTGGGTGCTGGGAATAAAAGCACGTGCCACCACTGCCCAGCTCCTATTCCTGGGGTTTTTGTTTGTTTGTTTATTTGTTTTGTTTTGCTTTGTTTTAGCCTGTTTAATCTTTTTATTTTTTTGTTTATTCTTCTCTCATATACTATATCCCAACCGCAATTTCCCTCCTTATTCTCAACCCATTCCATCTCTCTCCCTCCTCCCTTCTCCCCCAGATCCACTCCTCCTCCATTTCCCTTCAGAAAAGGGCAGCCCTCCCAGAGACATCAGCAAAACATGGCATATCAAGTTACAATAAGACTAGGCACGTCCCCTCATATTAAGGATGGATGAGGCAACCCAGTAGGAGGAAAAGGACCCCAAAAGCAGGCAAAAAGGTCAGAGACAGGCCCCACTCCCACTGTTAGGAGTCCCACTAGAGCACCAAGCTACACAATCGTAACATATGTGCCGTGGACTTGGTCAGACCCATACAGGTTGCTTGATTGTGGGTTCAGTCTCTGTGAACCCCGAGGAGCCAGAGTTAGTTGATTATATGTGCCATTTTCCTGTGGTGTCCTTGACTCCTCTAGCTCCTACAATCTTTCATCCCCTCTTCCACAGGATTTCCCAAGCTCCACTCCTGGGTGTATATTCAAAGGACACTCCATCCTACCACAAGGACACTTGCTCAACTATGTTCATCGAAGCTTTATTCGGAATATTCAGAAATTGGGAACAACAACTTATATGTCCCTCAACTGAAAAATGGATAAAGAAAATGTGGTACATTTACATAATAGAGTATCATTCAGTTGTTAAAAAATAATATCATGAAATTTGCAGGCTAATTTGTAGGAACTAGAAAAAAAATTATCCTGAGCAAAGTAACCCAGACACAGAAAGACATACGTGGTATGTACTCACCTATTTCTGTTTTTTAAAAAAAGAAAAATAGATTTAACTATAAGAAATTTAATACTTAAAGTGAAGTTTATTACAGAATTGGAACTGACGGGTTGACAGAAGAACTACAAGTGCCTTTAAAACCAGATATTCATGGTTTCTGCAGTTAACCCAGGGCTGAAGATTTGGGGCTAGGAGCCTCCGGTGAAAGAATACATGGCTTTTGTCTTCCTGGGTCAGGGTGACTTCACTCAGCATCATCCTTTCTAGCTCCGTCCATTTACCCACAAAGTTTATGGTGTTGATTTTTATTGCAACTGAATAGTATCCCACAGTGTATATAGACCACATTCTCATTATCCCTTTGTCAGCTGAAGGACATCTAGGTTGTTACCATTTCCTAGCAACAGTGAACATGATTCTCTGTGTAGCAGGAGGTCAGACCCTTTGGAAATATGCTAAGGAGTGGTACAGCTGGGTCATGTGGTCGCTTTATTAGCCATTTACGAACTCACCACTCTACTTTCGACAGTGGCTGCGCCACTTTGCGATCCCATCAGCAGTGGACAGTGATTCCCTTTCCCCCACACCCCCTCCAGAATTTGTTGTCGGTTGTTTTTATTGATCTTTGCCATTCAGAAGAGGGTAAGATGAAATCTTAAAGTTAGTCTGATTTGCAGTTCCCTAATTGCTAGGAATGATGAACGTGTTCCGAGATATTCTTTCACCTCAATCACACACAAAGAACTTCATTCAGACAACTAAGCAATGCTGAGTCTGAGACTTCGTCTTACTGGGAAAGAGCGCGCATCTGATGATAAGATGACGGACACTTGCGTGAACAGGGAGTGGGGTCATTTACTAGAGCAAGAGCCACTTACCAGTGGCTACAGCCTGAAGAAAATGTCTCTTCCTGTCCAGAAGCCGCTGATCGCCTTCTCCCTTTAAGTCCTAGGGACAGGAACTTCTCCCTCAAGAGAGTAATAGCTTGGAGTACATTTTTAAGGGTGTAAAATTCAAATATCCGTCTCTATTTTAAAAAGTTTTCTTAGAACATGGTTATGTTCACTCAGTTCATATTCCCTGTGGCTGCTTTCATATCACTGTTATTATTGGGAGCTGAGAGGGACTATGCAGTGGGCAGCATTAAGCTTATTGTCCGAACTTCTGGAGAAAACATTATCCAAACTCTGTTGACTGAAACCCTCTGATAATACAAGATATAATATAATATGATATACTATAATAATCAAGATAATAACAACTTGATACAATCACTTTATCAGCATGGACATGTGTAAAATGAAACACTTGGCCTGCCAATCCTGTGTGTGACCTGGTAGAGGGACCAGAGTATATAAAGAGAATATACAGAGAACATAGAGTATGTAGAGGGAGTATGTACAGGGTCTAGAGTATATAGAGGGAGTATATGAAGGGTATATAGAGTATATAGATGGAGTATAAACAGGGTCTGGAGTATATAGAGGGTGTATAAACAGGGTCTGGAGTATATAGAGGGTGTATACACAGGGTCTGGAGTAT